AAACGTTTTGCTTCTGACAGCTTTTTACAAAACTTGATTTCCCAGGGGATTTATCCTTAGGGAATAAAATTTAAGAAGGGATTTTGTGCACATTTTATTACATATTCCAAAATCTCTATAGTGAACAGTGTTCCTAAGGTACTTTGATAGATTTGTGCCACCCTAGATTTGTTTGAATGCTAACTGTCAATATATTCCACTTAATTGCCTAATAAACAAGGAAGAGTCATTTTCCTCCCATTATCTTAGGAAAAGAGCACAATCTAAGACAGAAAGGATATTGTTCCCTTGGCTTCTGAGTCCCTAAAACAAATACTGCAGCAGTCCAGAATAAAAGCCATCCAGCATGAGAAAGGACTACACTGGCCAGCAATTACTCTACTAACAGCACAATGCTGGTTTTCCTTTGCACAGTTAGGTTTCTCAGGAGCTTGACCGAAAAGAAGGTAAATTAACCAAGCTGCCCAGAGAGATGCCAAAACTCTTTGTAAGATCCGTCACATTTGCTTCTATCTGTCCCAAGGCAAACTGAGTATCAATTGAACTAATGGAAAGTTATCAAATGTGCAAAAGAAGAAAGCCACAATTAGACACCCACTCTTCATATCTGTAAATCTAAAAAGCCGGACACAGCATCATTATTCACTGACTCTGCTTGAGATTATGAAATAAGGTCAGGGAGCAAACTCTGCAAAGTACACATTTACTGGACTAATGATGGCCTTCACCCTAGATCTGAAAAGCTTGGCTCAAGTCCTGCAAGCAACATAAAATGCATTTCAGAGCTGAAAGAGCTGCTGTGACTGGCTGTTACCCATGTCCACTGATGGGAAGTGCAGGGAGCCCTATATGTCCTTTGCTTGCACATACAGTGCATATCCCTATGATACAATTGAGTAGTGCAGCATCTTTGATGATGTAACTAAAGACACAGTAAACAGTCATTAGTCCTATTTTTTCCAGCATTATTCTGTACTGATCTGAAATCTGCCTTGCACTTTAAAACATAAAACATGTTTTGAAAGAAGCTGTAAGTAAGTTCAGTGAGGACAACAGTCCCTCTTTCTACATCTCTATTTTACAAAGCAGACCACAAAAATGAAACAAGAGAATTCTTATTGCTACCATTTTAATAACTGAGAAATGTATCTGAGCTCAGGTACACAATTTCCCAAGTTTCCTTTGGAAAAAATACAGCTGTAAGGTGCCTAAAAGCATATTATTATTGCACAGTGGTTTATTAGGTTTGTTCTCTCAACAAATCCACTGTAATTAAAAATAGGGTCACATCTATGGGAAGGAGCCCAGGTGCACAGGTGCCTCCATTTGTCTCCTCTACAGTGTTAGCCATGTAAAGTTCAAGAAGTGCATGGCTATAACTCAGAAGCCTAATTAGGCCATTAGAAGTAAACTCCATTAAAAAACAGCCTTCAGCTTCAACGATAAACTGCAGCCATTTCAAATTGAATACTGCACTAGCAAGTAACACCACCTCTGAATAATTCAGCATTCGGTAACATAAGGCGAGATGAGAGGAATGAGAAAGCGTGATTGCTATTTTCATTATGATGTGCCTTTTTGGGAGGTATTGTATAAACCTCATAGCACTGACACTAATTATTTTGGCATCGTATTGGCAGTCACAATTAGACAAAATGCAGAAATTTCTAAGAGCAAAACAAGTTCTTGGCTTCATTTCTTCAGTCCAATATACTTCAGACTTTTATTTATGGCTAAATTGAAGCTAGATGTCAAATCTCGGTCCCTTAGAACAAAATCTTAATAATTAACTGGCAAAACTGAACATGATCGTTTCTGACACACCTACACTGGTAATTATTGCTTTGAGGCCATTTACTAATGAAATTAATGTATTCATTGCCCTAACAAATTAGCATAACTCATACATAATGCCCCACATTTCAAGACCTTCCTAGAAAAACAACACTTAATACCGCAGAATGAAATGGCAAGGGCATTACATGGAGACAGTGTTCACTGAATTACTACATGCTAAAACCACAATGGCTAAGTGTTAGTTATAAAGTAAAATGTAAACACAATGTGGGTATTGAAACCATTAATAGTGTAGTCAAGAGTGTACAATTGATGATTATCTTTGCACTTCAAATAAGCACATATTACAATAGCAGTAACCATGGAATGTAATTAACTGGCTACTTTTAGAGATACGAAGTATGAAAAGGAGGCAGTGGTGAAGCAGTTTCTTCTTCCCTCTCAAATTCCTAATACAGTGGGGCTGCAGTGTTTTATTGCCCATATTCCCATTCAGATTAATTCAGTGCCATAGCGACAAGCAACAGTGAAAGACAGGATGAAATGCATTACATTTGGAAATGACAAATATTCGCAGCAATCTACTGCCATTTCTAACTTGTAAGATTCTCTCACTTTGGTTGGGAAAAGTATTCTCAAAGTTTTCAATCTCATAATGCAGAGGTCTGCAGACCACTACGTGGCTAGATGCAGTCCCAGTTTGATGAAGAGCAGGTTGGAAAGCACAACCTGGCAGGCTAGGGGCTGCACTGAAACCCGCAAAGAACAGACTCAACATGTACTGCCACTTACAGGCCACTCACAACCCATGACTGGCGTGAGGCATCTTACATATGAATAACGTATTTATGTTATTTCAAACGATAAATTTACTTTGCAGGAGAATATGGAGGCAAAATTACAACATGTTTGAATTGCACAGAACTGACTTCTGCCTCAGCCATGGGAGGTTGACGGCTAAGGATAAGTTGACCAGGCCTTTCTCCCGCACAACTGAGGAGCCAGGCCCTTATGCCAGTTACAGCAAGGTTATTTTGCTTGTGCTCTCTAGAATTGTCTAAAAGTTACTTCCTCCTGAGAAGCACCAAATAACAGCATATTCTTGTGCACCCTCCTCTCCTTTCCTACATAAGCATAAATGCAAGGAACACAGATCCTCAACGCACCAGTATCTACTGCTACAAAGCAAAGCAAAAAAATTCCAAGGGGAAAACTATAGAATAAGCACCTCAAGTATGGAGTTCCCTTGGAAGCCCATCCACATGTGTCTGGCTCCTGCCCGCAAGCATGAAGTTTTACATCTATATTAATGTTTTATTCTGCTCAATGTAATTTGGATGCTCTCATTACCCATACGGATGTCTGATCTTTTTCAATCCTCTTACGTGTTCAGCTTCCATGATATCTTATGCCCACGAGTTCTATATGCTAATTCTGAGATGCATGAAATTTCATTTGACCAGTTCTGTACTTCTTGCTTATCAAGTCATGTCCTTTCCCCATCCAAACATTTCTTTCCAGTTTCTCATTTTGCCCCTTTCCCCACTTTGAATTAAAAATTCAAGTTTCAACTGCAGTAAAGTCTGACCATCTCTGTTTCTTCTGTTTCTAACTTTACATTTCTTCCTTAATAACTGACTAGAACACAAGATAGCACAAGAGATTTTTGTAGCCTATCAAATTTGCTTTAGACACTGTGAACTCCCAAAGCACATTTCAGAATGGTTTAAACGTCCAGCAGCAGATTCCCAGTTTTGAACCTCAAAGGTTATTGTGCTCTTTTCCCCAAAGACATGAAACCTAACTATATTTTGGGCACTACTACTACGCACACATAGATTCCTGGAAGCAACTCACGTATAACTGAGAGGTCTCCATTTGTGCCTGTCTAAGATCTAGCTGATCTTCAGCATAATCATCTAAATTATCAAGGAACTGATTCTTTGAACCTCACCCTGTTGTCACATACCACAATGTTATAGATGGGTAAATGATACCTCTTTGATATCCCTCATAGCTACACAGGCAGGAAACAATTTTCAATTACACTAACCCTTCTTTCCACCTAAACAGTAGGTCTCCATGCGCTTCTGTCTAAATTATATAATGCCAAAGTAACAACAAGCAACATTAGCAAGAACAGCAATCAGAAGAATCAGGTCTTCAACATCACTTAACTGAGCAGGTAACAAGTAGTATAAACCTACCATTATTTTTTGGGCCTTTTCTCCAATTTAGACCAACTAAAGAACTTATACAAAGCTTAGGATATTCTTAAGACATTTAAAAACACTATACTAGAAAACCAGCAATTCCCTATCAAGTCATTGTATGCCTTTTCATTGCAATATATTAGCTGGTTGGACAACAGAAAGCTACACCCCATCCTCATGGCTGGCCTGTTCTACGTCTTCTATAGCCATATACTGAAGTACCCCAGCATATGACCAACTCTGTCCAGCTCATGATTATGGACTACAATATGACATTAGTATCAACTATTTGAGTTGCATTTAATTGGTGAAGGTCAGTCCTCTTCCATCTGCAGGCACCTAGTTCACCTACTTTTGACTTGGAAGTCTCTCACTGGTATACAGATTTTATTTTTGGCAGCATGCCTACTTTCAGTTAATTCCTTTGTCTGACACATTGTGACTTCCCTCAAATATGTCTCTGCAGCCTTTCTCCCTCCAGGTCAGCTGTAATTTCTGTCCTATCATTTACTACTGGATACAGGGTTACTTTTATATTGCTGACATTCCTAGCAGATGTCTTTGTCTGACCCAAGTGCTCCTCACCACCTGCCACCTTGCTTCCAGGTCTGCCTATAAATAATGCTCCCCTTGCTGGTCTGACTACAAATAATCCCCTCCCCACCCTCTTGGTTTTTGTAGTCAGCTGGTTCCAATTTGGGTAAGGTGGAGCTTCCCTTTCCTTTTACAGCTCCCTCTTCTCATTGTGTTATACAGAAATCAACTGCACAAAACCACAAGTCTGACAGAAATATATCAGTAGGCCCCTAAATCAAACCTTTTGCCTGTTCATCTACATTTTCATTCTAGCATCTCTCATCATCTACCTCCCAAAGTTACTGGTACTACGATGCACAAGAGGCACTGGGCTGTGCTTATGATCAAGTTCACCTGTGCTTAACCAAGTTAAGGCCAACACAGCTACCTCTTGGGCAAGTCCCACAGGCCAGTTGTAAGGCTGTGGTTCTCTCCAGCCCACATGACAACTGTATGTGCCACAGTCAGCACATGGACATGAAGGCAGATGGAGACCTTACAGAGAACCTCAACATCACTTCCTGAGACTGCCTGAAGCAAAGTAATTTGAGGATGTCTCAAGACCATGGGAGCCAGGATCTCTTGAGCTCTGCAAACTGCAGGTCTCTCCCAGCACAGGTGCTTTGCAGATTTACTCTATGAGCTGCAATCAGATGCTGACAAACATCTGCGGGGTCCAGGAATCATTTCCCTGAAGCTCTCACACCTGGTTTCTCCTCAGCACTCACCACGTAAGACCTAACATTTTAACACTCATTTTTCACATTTCAGAAGCAAACAAATGCACTAAGCTCACCACAGTAGTGTAATGGGGGACATGGTGCCTTGGTGCACTTTTGTGGTGTTATTTTTGTTTTTCAAGATAAAACAGAGGAATGCTTCAGTGGCTAGTGTAAAGTTAACAGGGAACTGTAGTCAGTCCACATAGCAGCAGCCAGAATTTCAGAGGCTGTCTACTGACAGTTCCTATAGAAGGAAGGGAGGAAAACAAACAAGAAACACCCCATTCCAACCAAAAATAAACCAAATAGAAATCAAGCAGCCTATAGGAGAAGTTAAACCCAACTGAAAGTGGCACATCCTACTTCTAAATGGACAACCTTCCAAAGTTTTGGCACATCGCTTCTTTGAGAAGACTAATTCACATTCCTCTTTTCATAAAACAGCAGGTAGCTAAACCAAGTAACAAATGCTACTTCCCAAGGTTTTGGCTCAAGACTGTCCTACTGGGGATGGGGCAGAAAACATGCAGCTCCTGAATCAAACTTGAAAAAATATTCTGTGTTTGTGCCATCCATAGGAAAAGCAATGATTGCAGCAGTAGCAATAGGCCACCTGCAGCAAGATAAGCAGTAAGTGAGAATTAAAAAGGAAAGAAAGTGCTGACTGACTTTCTCAAAGACGTTGAGGACTTGACTGGCGCCAGAAAACAAGTGATGGATTTGCTGGGGTGAGCCTTTTGCACAGCTTCAGTAAAAATTCAGAGGAAAAGCAAAACTTAAGGAGCGACTGAGCCTATGGAAAAGAGTTCATGAGAAGCATAATAAAATCCTAAGACAATATAGACGCCTGTATGCATTCAGTAGCATTATGCCACTTTACATTTATGAAAACCTCTATTTAGTGACAGGTATTATCTAACATAGACAGAGGCACTCTCATGAGAGGGGTTAACTTGGAGAGAGCCAAAGCAGGCAGTGATGTCCCTACATGCAATTGGAGGCACTAACGTTGCATAGCTGGAGGAACTCTGTGTGACCTTAAAGGCTGCGCACACAAGTCCTGCCTGCAAAAACCGTGAGAACTTTCCCTGCTATGATTATAAACTTCACTAAGTTAGACTCTCAGAGAGTTATATAACCCGATGTGGCGGTTAATGAAGTGCTGGATGTAAGAAAAATAACTGTAATGTTATTTTGCCCCTGGTATGCTTTGCCTTATAAGGATTAAACCCAGAGCTAATTCACTTCTGTGTTTTGTGATCTCTATCATGCTGCAATAATAATGCTTAGCACTTTATAGCACTTTTCACTTATAAAAGGTGCTTTACAAACATTATCTAATTATTAATCTTCACAACAGTCCTCCGCTACAGGTATACAGGTCAATTTAATGTTCTGTTTTAATAAACTACTAGCACTTTAGAAAATTGAAAAGTATATAACATATTAAATTCACTTAAGAGAAACAAAAGTTAGCGAACAAATTGCAATGCTCCCTACAACATTCTAGGTGGGTAGCTCACATAACGTAGCAAACTGTCAGTGACCACCTCTGAGGTCCACAGAGGATGGTCTACATGGCAAATTTTTCAATTAGGTAGTTGAGAGACTCATTTTTTTCAGATGATAACATGAATAATGTGAATGAAAAGGGATTCTATCAGAGCAGCTGAGGTCCCTTGTTCAAGGCCACACTATACTAAGTTCCATACAAGCCAAACATCATAGTCCCTACCCTGCAATATTTGGGATCTAGGTATAAAACAAGTACAAAAGGGGGTGAATGGGAGGAAGTTTGTGCATTTAAGCAGTAATCCTCACTGTTCAAGCTGTATCTGCCCCCACAAACATACGAAGAGCCATTTTATGCCAGTATACTCACCACCTCATTAGTACTCTATAGTACTCTCCCTTGATAGACACCAGACTTCAGTTGTTTGTGACCAAAGACAAGAGTTTGGTATATGGTAAACACATCACACAACTTAGTTAAGCAATCACAAACTGAGCTTTCCACAGGTCACTGTTTCATGCACTGCATGGCACAGACTTGTCTGCAGGATGAATCAATGGAGAGCAGGAGGCAGTTGCCTGACAATGAGTAGGGCCGCTCAGTGCACTGTGCATTGCTGAGGTTCCCTGTTAAGTAATGAGCAAGGAATGCAGAAAGAAAGAAAGATTAAAAAAAGGACTGTTTAAAAGTTGCCCTGAAGAGTTCGGAATCTGCATCTGCTTCTGTCACAAGACAGTCTATGAGATACAGGACAAGTTTCTTAAAACCAGGCTTTCCACTTAAGGTCATTTATCAACTGTATGTTCCGCATGTGCTCTGTGCCTGACTTGAAACCTGGACTCAATGTGCCAGTCCCTCACAAATGCAGCTGAAGTTGAAGCGATCTGCGCTATGAGCCTCCTACCCGACGTTAAATGTCCTGAAAAAGATCTGGAGCAGGATGTCTCAGACTGGGTCCCCAGTTTAGGAAGTATCTTCAGCCTTGAACAACCATGTCCTGGTCTCTATCTGTCAAATGAGGACAATAATTCCTCCTCATCTTACTAGGGTGTTGTGAAAATAACTTCATTAATGGTTAGTGAAACACTGCAGTGTTGAGTGCTGTATAGAAACCTAGAAGGAAATGAATTTTGACTCTGGAGCAAGGTTTGAAAAGCATGCAATAAAAAGGGTCTGAAGGCACACACTTAACAGACAGGGCAAGAATGAAAGACAGGATTTGAAATTTTTTAACTGCTCATTTAGTGAGATGTGTCCATGCTTTATCCAGCAGATTTCACCCTGATCTTAGACTCTCAGCTCTCAAGTTTGATTTGTAAATGACCAGTTTTTAAAATCCAGAGCTATCCAGCTCTCCACAACTGCCACAGCACGGACTCCTACTGCAGAGCCTGTGGCTCAGTAGCGTCACTGGCAATATTTAGAGTCACTGTACAGACCTCTATCATTTCAGTCCATGGAATAAAGCAACAATAGAATCTTTCTTCACAGGAACCCATACTTCAAGGAAGGAAGATCACGCTTTGACAGTAGGTTTTGATTATATTTTGAAAGAACAAAAGAAAGATGCAATTGGTGGGAGAAACAGTGCTCAAAATTTTATACAGAACAATACATATTCGTTTTCTTTCCAGAAACAGCCAATGCATTTTGATCATAGTCATTCCAAACGTTTTGCCCCAGGAGGAAGCCCAACATGGAAAATATCAACCCAAACAGTTAAAGTCTGTGAAGATTAAAAACAAATGTAAAAAAAAAATCTTGTTCACTGTAGTTTATAAATGAGACCTTTCAGGCAATCCTGATTCTCTGCCCTACCTAGAATACACTTGCACACCCTGTTCTACACGGCATTCTGCTTGCTGTGCAACTTATTTTAATCCTTTCCCAGCACATCATCTTCAGTGCTGAGGGGCTTTTATTATTTGTTTTTATTATATCCCCCCCCCCCCCCCCCCCCAGCTGTTTCTTGCATGGAGACAATAGTATTCCTTAGCTTCCCTTAAATAATATACAGCTGACTAATCACTGTGGCACCCAGGAAAGTGGTCAGGTGAAGTAAACATTCTGAAAAGAATGAACCCTTGAGCGATCCCTGCCAAATACTCTCACCTCAAACTGTCACAATGATTGTGGTTTGACCAAAGAAGGGGCTTTTGATGACTGAGGAGTTTTGTGGATTGGTAAACTGCTTGGTGAGTAGAAAAAAGCCTACTGCAAGTTAGTTTAAAGCAGTGGCATTTAATAGAAATGATAGAACCAGAGGGCTGCCTTTCCTGACTGTAACATTGAGGCTATCAAATAGGTCTTAAAAAAGCATGAGTGAGAGAAAACTGCCATTGTCTGTTTTACTGCCACTTGTCCAATGGGCTTTAGCAGTACAAATGCAATGGCTGCTTGTTGGCTGAACAACATTGTAGTGGTATGGCTTTTAAGCGGCTGGAGCTAAAGCTGGAACTGCAACTGCCCTACTATACTAACACAGAAAAACGGACATCCAGTGTCCAACAGCCCTTCTCAATCCAGACTTTATAAAATCAAGCGTGCAGAACAGTGTTGTATGTTTAAGGTTCTCAGGAAAGAAAGAAATTCAGAATATGATGTTCCTCTCAACGTGAACGAGGAGACAGTCTGTTTCAGGTGTGCCATGGCACAGATTACTTTGTTCTTTTAAGAACTATTCTTGTGTGTATATCCAGTCAAACTTTTAAAATCTCCTTCTTAACCAAATGATGGCCACTCTGTCTGGAAAATAATTTTACTCTCATTCTAAAGCAATGCTTGCAATATCCTCTCCGTACTTCCATGTTTTGTTCTTAGCTGCCAGTATTCTTATTTTATGTGCTTCCCCTGTATTTTGATGCCATGTCCAGTCACTTGTGTAACAATTCTGGTGCTCTGAAACCTGCCATGCAAAGTGAGGTGAGAATCAAAAGAGGACACTATCTGGATTAATGGAAGTCTGAAGCCTAACAGGTCAGGCATAACTGGCATGTACTCTGTGACAGTGTTTTGGAGACAAACACTCCATCTTCCCCAAAATCCCCACAGATTTTGGGGGCTCTCACTGTGTATGCAGCCCAGAGTACACAGGCAGCCTGAGGGACAGCAAAGCCATGCATATCCCATCTACAGGAGAAACAGTCTGCCGCCCTGAACTTTATCTGCCAAAACTAAACTCTACCCTGTCACCAGCAGATCAATGTTGAAGAATAAATGATCCCTAAGCAAAATACATGGGATAGCAGGAGTCTACTTTCATGGTTACAAAACTGAACCCACATTGTTTAGCCCATTCACAACCTGTTCACAATACTGTAGTACAATACTAAATGCAGTACCTCAGACAAGAAATAACTAATGTCCCAGCAGTAGGCTTAAAACTTCTAGTTTGTCAGAGCAAAGTAAAACACAAACCAACAACAAAAAACCTTAAACGTGACAGCTTACTTCTCTTCTTGCCACAATTCCTTACATTATTTCTTTACCCACTGTGGCTTCATTGTTAGCCAATATTGGCCTGAGGTAGCCAATATTTTGCTCTGCCATATGTATTCCCATATAGTTTGTCCTATAGACAGTAATGCCCTGTTTGGTCCTCACAGACATCTGGAATATAGGCAGAAATGCCTGTGCCAGAGCTGAAAAGTGCAAACTCACTTCAAAGGAGCAATGGAGGGAATCAGAAAATGGTCAGACAAGAAGGATGACGTTAAGAAAGGGAAAAAGATAATGGAAGCTGTGGTTTGCATGTGACACTCATGAAAGGACAGCCAACTGTATCCTGGGCTGCATCAAAAGGAGCATGACCAGCAGGTCAAAGGAGGTGATCCTGCCCCTCTGCTCTCGTGAGACCTCACTTAGGAGTATTGCGCGCAGTTCTGGTGTCCTCAACATATAAAGGACATGGAACTGTTGGAACAAGTCCAGAGGAAGCCACAAGTATGATCAGGGGACTGGAGCACCTCCCGTATGAAGATGGGCTGAGAAAGTTGGGGCTGCTCAGCCTGGAGAAGAGAAGGCTGCATGGAGACCTCATAGCAGCCTTCCAGTATACGAAGGGGGGCTATAGGGATGCTGGAGAGGGACTCTTCATTAGGGATTGTAGTGATAGGACAAGGGGTGATGGGTTAAAACTTAAACAGGGGAAGTTTAGAATGGATATATGGAAGAAGTTCTTTCCTGTTAGGGTGGTGAGGCACTGGAATAGGTTGCCCAGGGAGGTTGTGAATGCTCCATCCCTGGCAGTATTCAAGACCAGGTTGGACAGAGCCTTGGATGCCATGGTTTAGTGTGAGGCGTCCCTGCCCATGGCAGGGGGGTTGGAACTTTATGATCTTGAGTCCTTTCCAACCCTAACTATTCTATGATTCTATAATATATGTGATTATAAGCAACAGTGTCCTCCCAGGTGGGCTGCATCTGACCCATGGTAGATGAAGCTCCTTGGAGCACAGGGTCCAGCACCACTTTTCAGTAGCCGATTCTGATGGTAAAATACTCCTAATCTGACAATATACTGCTGCCAAAAATTAGTGAGAGGCAGAGAGATCTCAAACCATATCTGTCTATCAACTCACCTGCCTTGTTTCATATACACTCAGATTTCTAATATATGAAGTATACAGTTCAGTAATTTCCCTCAGAAAAATAGCACCTATTACACAACAAAGATAAATGCAAGTTCTTTCATTTACTTTTCAATTAATCTCATGACTCACAGATTAGAGGAACATCCCCTTTAAAATAACAAAGTAAATCACCACTTTATTTGTTCTGAAGGCAGAGGAAGAGAACAGGTTTTACACTTCTCTATGGTGTGAGACAGGCAACGGGAGAAGGTAGGGGTATACGTATCCATAAGAGAGAGAAGGGAATTCACATACAAAACTGTAGCTGAAGAAACAACAGGTTAAACCTTATCTGGCACACGAGGATGACTCACAGACCTGGAAACCTGTGTTTCAATAAAGAGATTCAAGATAGAGCTGATATAGAAAAATGACTTATTTCTCTAATACAGTTTTATGTCTTGGAAGTGGTCTGTCAGGATTAGAATGACTTACAACTGTGTTACATTCTCCAACTCTGAATATGTCATTTTGCTAGTACTTCTCGAGTATTCCCTAGACTTTGCCTTTCTGATCTGCAGATTGTCAATTTCACATCACTAAATTCAATACTTTTGTAAAAGAATTGGCATAAAATCAGTTGTGTGACTTACCAGTAAATACTTTGCTTGTCAGATGATCTCCCATTTGAGAATGCTAGAAAGAAAAACAAACACAAACAACAGTTAGTAACTGAACTCACTTTAGGATTATCTTGTCCAGCCACCTAGCATCATCCTCCTGGCAGGATTAAGGAATAGCAAGGCCAGATCTGTAATGAAAGGTGAATGTCTTATCATCCTGAAATCTGGTTCATACTTGATTATCAGCACCTTTCTTCCATTTAGAGTTCTCATATTATGGAAACACTTACATACTCTGAGTTACTGAGGTATAGAAAGATAAGCTTCAAAAACATTATGGACAGTGGGCATAAACTAATGCTCAGGACCCCTAGGCCTCTCTGAGCCTTTGGAAACAACTGAAGTTTATGGTGTTCAGTCATCACCTCAAGGGAAATACATGCAGCTTCAGTGAGATAATGCACTCAAAGTGTCATGAGGTTTTGTAGCAAAAGTATGATCTGCAAAGGCACAATTGTCCTTCATAAACCAGCTTTTGAGATTACGGTTATCAAATCCAAATTATACACCTTACAGATCCCAAAAGTGTCTACATTACAGACCTTAAAGTAGAAAACCCGATTCTTACACAAAAGTATGTTTAGCCCCCTTCAATCAACCTTAGATGAGGTCAACACAATGCTAAAAATAAGGTCTAAGGAGCTACTAAAAGCAGAATACTATTTCTTGGACATTTTGGAGCTCTGCGAGACAGAGAAGGTTCATATAAACAAGAGCAAGTGCAGTCAGTCTCAAATAGAGTCTGAAGTAGTCTTCAACTACTAGGACACAGAGTGTCAGATTCCTGAGTGGTGCACAAGTGACTGATGAGACATAATGGACACCAAGCTGCAACAAGGAATACTGCAATTAAATACTGTTAAGGGAGAGAGAGGGAGGAATAAATCACCATTAGGATAGCAAAATACTAACAGGTAAACCATAGAGATTGTGCAATCCCTATTCCTGAAGATGTGCAAAATTTGACAGGACCAGCCCTGAGGAACCTGATCCACGTTGACCTTGGTTTAAGCAGAGAGCTGGTACTCATGAACGTGCCTCAATTCTTGCTCATAGCCTTCACCCTATGCTGAGGAGGGGTGGAGAATGCCACTTCTAGTGGTCAGGAGAGACTAAAATCCCTTCCCATGAAACCAGGGCAAATTTTAACCTGGAAGAACCTTTATCTTTTGTGTATCAGAATTAATGGTGAAGTACATCAATGAGGAGATCAAATAACTGAGTTTTCTACAAATAAAGACTACACTTCTAGCAGGCAAATGCCCCAGTCATAACTGCATCTTCCACCTGAGAAAGACTGTGAAACAAGGCTGTCACATGCTATTTTACAGACATATTGAACTAACTGTAGTAGCTTCCTTAAAACCCAGCAAAAGGTGAGATGCGGCACTGAATAGAGACAAAACTAAAATACCTTGCTGCGCTTCTCTGGTTTCCAAACAAAAGCCCACAGAGATGAAGAGAAGGCTCAGAGGAAGGGGAGAATGTGGTTTATATTCACAGAAAGTGTGGCTCCATTGCAGAAATGCTGGAAACATCACATCATCTCAGATTCACTGAATCAGTTGTCAATTCCTAAACATTCCTGACAGATTGCCATAGAGGTGGCAGAGATTAATGATCAATTTTA